TTGAATTGTATCATATGATAGGGCGTTCATACAATAAGCGATAATTAATGGCATCCTATCCACTTAGAGATCGAAAGCAGGATGACAACAGTTACTTGAATTTGCTTATTATAATTATAAACTACTTTTAGAAATGACAGAAATGTTTTTGGATAGCGCTTTTAATTAGAAAATAAGAAATGTACAAACAATGAATGGATACCTAGATTAATATCTATTTTTAATTAGACCATTTTTGGTTGTAAATGATGCAAACAACACAATTCTATTATATTAAAGCTTTGTGAACTTTCTATGATTTAAAAATTTCTTCTTTTCTGTAAATATCCTTTTTTAAAAAAATCTTTACGTTTTTCGTCACTTTAAATCTCTTTTGTATAAAACTTTGACTGAAAATTTAAAACTATTTAAATCAAAAAAATTAAGTTTACTTGTATAAACATGTCAAGTTGTTATTATTCTGATTTCTGATATCGTTGGTAACATTTGTCTACAGTCTTTATAAAGGGTAAAATTTGATGGTAATAAAGTAAACCTCTTATTTAAATTCATAAAAAAGGCGCACAAGGAATTTAAAAGTAAAGAAAATACAGAAAAAATCACGTAAGTTTACTAACAAATACTAGAATGTTAAAATTTGTTTCGGAACCATATCAGTCTCAGGAGTGATTGAACTTTTGTATCTGACCACAGATTAAGGCAAGAGCGTCCCGAGAGAAGTGTTTGAGGAAACCCAGAATTGCAACAACCCGAGGGATAAATAATGGTGGAATATAATTATATTCTTTTGACAAGTCGGGTTAAATCTCTTGAATCCTAATACAATTAACGTACTTCTTGAAATGATAGCAATTTTCGGTATGGATACATCGTATGAGAAATTAGACCAAATAATCACTGAGAAGGAAATTGAAGATGCAGTAGGTAAACCTAAGTATAATAAAAGCTGTGGTGAGGATTATATCCTAAATGAGCTTTTTATTAATTGTAAAACAATTCTAATTCCACTTTTACATACATTATTCAATAATATTTTTGAAAGCGGGTGCTATCCTGAATCCTGGTCAAAGGGGTTTATTGTCCCAGTGTACAAGAAAGGGGATGTCAATGATACAAATAGTTACAGAGGAATAACTATTTTGAGCAGTTTCGGAAAATTATTTACTACAATTATTGATAATAGAATCTTAGGTTGGGAGAAAAACTGTGGTATTTTGTCTGATGCACAATTTGGTTTTAGAAAAGGGTTTTCAACTGATGACGCAATATTTGTGTTACAATCACTTGTTAACAAATACTTGAGCAAGAAAAAGCGTTTATACTGCTGTTTCATCGATTATCAAAAAGCTTTTGACTCTATAGATAGAATTAAACTGTGGATGGAAATATTTTTAATATTGGTATTCAAGGGAAAATGTTAAAAATAATTAAAGCATTGTATCAAAGTATAAAATGTGTGAAATACAATGGCTTATTTAGTGAATATTTCATTAGTAATACAGGACTAATGCAAGGTGAAACAGTCTCCTCTTTATTGTTTTCATTATACGTGAATGATTTTGAGATGCAATTTATTAAAGAAAATTGTCAATGTATAGATGTACAAGAAATAAGTTTGTTTCTTCTTATGTATGCAGATGATATGTTGATTATGTCTGAAAGCCCAGGGGGTTTACAACAAATGCTGAATTCATTATGTAATTATACTACCACGTGGAATCTTAAAATTAATATTCAAAAGACAAAAATAATTATTTTCAGAAATGGTTGTAAGATTAGAGAGAATGAGAAAATGGATTTATGGTAACGATATAGTTGATATTGTTGACGATTTTAATTATCTTAGAATGCTATTTAATTACAGCGGAAAATTTTTGAAAACTCAAAAACACGCCGCAGAGCAAGGTAGAAAAGTTTCATTTGCTATTTCTAATTCATTAAAAGCACATGCATTCAATGTTGAAACATAGTTATCTGTTTTTGATACTTACGTAAGAAGTGTACTTTTATACGCATCAGAGGTATGGGGATGGCATAAAGCTACTGATATTGAAAAAATCCATCTTAATAATTGTAAAAGAGTATTAGGGGTGGGTCAGAAAACAGTCAATAATTTCGGATATTGCGAATTGGGAAGATATCCACTAGCACTAAAAATGAAATTAAAATTTTTTAGATACTGGCTCAAATTAAGAGGGACTGATAATTGTTTTCTTAGGGCCTGTTATGAAGTTATGGTTTTACGTAACGATAACTGGATTATGTGTATTAAAGAAGGGTTGGGGAGACTAGGTTTGAGCTATTTATGGGACTCCAACATGGTTGATAATTGTACATATAAAATAATTGAGCAAAGGATGGCTGATATTTATAGACAAAATATTTTTTCATTTGTAACTTCATCTTTAAAAGGTCAATTGTACCAGTACGTTGTAAATAATTTTGTATTACAAAGATATTTAACAAAACCTATTGATGATAGATATAAAAGAATACTCACGAAGAACAGATTATCAAACCACCAATTAAAAAATGAAAGTGGTAGACATAATAATACACTTAGAACTCAAAGAATTTGCAAACTATGCTCCTCTAACGATATTGAAGATGAATTTCATTTCATATTAAAATGTCCATTAAATCTGAGAGGTATGTACATTAAGAAGTATTATTATGTCAAACCAAGTGTATTCAAAGCTGTAAGTTTAATGAGTAGTCAAAATGTAAAAGAGTTGTCTAATTTGGGAAATTTTTTTATGTAAAGCTACTGCTCTACGAAAGTCTAATTTGTAACTACTATTGATATTTATATCATTTGTGCATTTTTATGTTCCCCAAACGGAGTTTGGGAACATATTGTTTTTATTGTATCTAGTATTTATTCTGTACTCGTTATCATGTTTATATGCTGTATGAAATCTGATGAGCCTTTGGCTTAAAGAATAAAGAAAGAAAAAAATGAAAACATTTCCAGCCTGCTTTCTTTTATAATACCAATTACCTTGCCTTCACATAATAGATAATTCGCATTCCGTTACATTAAAAAAAATCTGCCACCTGATTTTACAAATTCAAATTGACCCTCTGATATATTTTATCATAAACTGAGTTTTTACCTTTATAAATTAATTCATACATTTTATTTCATAAAATAATTAATTTCATTCAAGATTTTTAAGAACATGTGTCATTTTCAGCATTCTTTTATCTTAGAAAAACAAGTTACACTTTGACTAGCTTAAAGCCATAAGGTTAAGAAGTTTTGTACATATTCACACATTTTCTGGCGATGTGAAATTCTGATTTATTTACTGACAAATAACATTTACGCAAAGCCACGCAATTTGATTAAGAATATCTTCTGAAGTCTACTTCACTCAATTAGTGTCAGTCCATCGGATTAAGGTTCTTTGTTAAGATTGGTATTTTTCTATCTTTCGGGTGCGAGGCCCCCGACAGGTAAATCATTGTGTTCACCTTTGATATGTTTACATTTTACCCTGTATGTGCCTTACCTTGACCAAGTGATTTTTTGAGTTGAAGCCCAGCGCGTCACTTTTGCTGGACACTTCGAAAAATAAAAGACGTATATTTTATTTCAACGACTTGGTCATATTTTACAGGTAGGCAATATTTTATATTACTTTTATAATTATGCTTTGATTGTACATATGTTTTATATTTCATGATCTCAGGGTAAATGTGTTCAAATTAAATATGTTTTTGTAGCAAATTGATGTAGACCAGTACTTTATCTTATTTGATTTTCTTTGTTCTTGTTAGATTTAGTCATTTACTTAATTTCGAATGTATGTCGTAGAAATGCGTATCTCAATGAATTTAGATTTACAAATGTTAACATGTATCGATTGAAAATGATCTATTATTATTACTAAAGTTATTTTCTTTAAATTTCTCAGTAACGCCAAATTACAATTTCTATAAATCTATGTATAGAGCACTTTTCCGGAAGTTTAGATGTCACATGACCAGTTCTAAATTTACTTTCGCCTTTGTTTACTTGGGTTCACTTCCGCCCAAAGTGGAAATGCCTCGGCACAAGAAAAACTTTGTTAAACTCTTTCATTAACTTTGTTAACTTTAACGGGATGATGATGTAAGTTTATAACATTGCATATTTTGATTACAACTCATACAGATTTTTATTATTATTACGCATTTCCATATTTTTACACCTTTTTATGTCAATGCATGTGCATTGATGTTGTGTATGTTTTTATAAGGCATTTGCATACCCTTTTTGTTTGTTTTGATTTCATAAATAAAAGCCCAGATTAATTTTCAATTGTATCTAAATGAAAGTTAGTAACCATTAAATGAAAATATGAAAATAAATGAATAAATATGTAAATTGAGATTATGCAATATGACCCAATGTTTATGTCTGCTCCTTCATAACTTGTGTACCTCATCATGGCTAAGTAAAGTTCTCTACCATTCAAGTTAATTTTCCCCATCTTAATTGTTATTATTCAAACTAATTCCCCCTTGTATTTGTTTATTAATTGTGTAATATTTGTGCACATGTAAATCATAAGGTTGTTTATATAATGTGGTCATTGAATAATTTTCATTATCTGTTGCATTATTTTTAATTGTGCAAAGACTCATTGTTTATAATCTTGTGTTTTATTATGTCATGTTATATTATGCAATACTTTTGCTGGACACTTCGAAAATAAAAGACGTATATTTTATTTCAATGACTTGGTCATATTTTACAGGTATTATTATCAACACCCCAAATTTCAACATGACAAGTTGGTGGATGAATTCCCAAAGTTCCTAATGAAGAGCAGACCTGTAAATTACATGTACTACCTGCGAGACAGACAAAACAAAGACCAAACTCCATCGCAAAACAGTGTATCTAATCCCGAACAACCCAGCACTGGTCAAGAAGTCATTTATCCAATGAGCAGCTCCGAACAACTGGAGAACCAAAGTATAAATACAGAATCTGACAACACCAGCGAAACAGAAGAATTACATATAGAAATAATAGAAGAAACAACAGACAGTGCTATTACTGAAGCAACAGCATCCAACACCGGAATCAGTGAAAGCTCAACTCAAAACACTAGCCAGATTCACACCGAAAGTGACACTGAAAACATCGCCGACAATACTGCATATTTAAGTGAAAGTGTGAATAATATCCAGAACAAAATGGCCACAGGAATTAATTTAAAGAAATTCAGTGGAAGTGAAAATGTTCATGTGTGGCTGTCAAATTTAGACAGCTGGCAAAAATTTCATAAGGTGACAGACAATGAAGCACTATTAGCCATTGGGTGCAGCCTTGAAGGTCAAGCAGAGACCTGGCTACAAACACTGACAACCCAACAACGCACTAACCTTAAAGACTTTAAAGACTGCCTGAAAAGTAGATTCGCACCTCAGGAAACAAATTTTTCCTTACTCTCCATTAAACAACAACATGGAGAATCTACTGACACATATCTCTCGAGAGCAGAGAAAACTGCCTTGGGACACGACCTGCCTGAGATTTATAAAGTTCAGTTTGTTATTCAGGGACTTGAAAAACAAATAAAAGAAAAGGTTCTTTCAAAGGAACCAAAGACGTTCCAACAGTTGCGCCATGCAGTTTCCCTGGCAAATGCACAGATTGAGTGCAGGACAGAAAATGACAACAGTCTAAATCTAATCGCCCTCGCCGCTCAGTTAAAAGAGTCGCTCAAGGAAGAAATCAATGCCTTGGTACCGAACATCCCACAGACACAAAAGAAAAGTGGATGGAAAAACAAAAAACAAACATTTGGACAATTTCAAGCCAATCCGCAATTTCAGCCGCCTGTGAACTTTGTGCCCTCTGTGCCGAACAATGCGTGGACCAATCCCACTTATGCTGTGCCGCCTCAAAATTTCCAACAGCAACCGCCAATGCAGCAGATGCAGACAGCGCCAATGAGACAGAATGGTCAAGGAATGGGTGGAGGATGCAAGGGATGCGGTAAGTCTTGCTATCCCAGATTTAATTGCCCTGCTTATAATGTACAATGTTTTAATTGTGGTAAAATGCGTCACTTTGCGTCTGTCTGTCAGTCACCAAAAACAAGACCACACTTCTCTGGCACCACTCACCCACAAAACCCAACAAACAATCAAACATGCTAGGGAAACGCGCCTATCCTTCTGAAGGATAGGCACCAAACTAACAGTAACAGTGCATCCTCACTAACAGCTCATTCTAGGCATGAATCAACTAACATTCGCTGTCAAACTAACAAGCCCAAAACCTCAATCTCCCCATCAACCTCTGCTAACAAGACCAAATCAAATAGGGGTAAGAAAACACACAGCTCTGTTAACTTGATTATGCCTATCATGAAAAATAGTGTTAGTGTAGATATTTATGGCACCCCCATACGTGCATTGGTTGATACAGGTGCATCTATTTCTTGCATATCAGCATCCCTTGTTTCTAGGTTACAGATAGACAAGAGCACAATCCGTTCAGCAAATGCAACTGATGCTGTCGCCGCTGGTGGCGAAGTTCACTGTAGTCTTGGTGTTGTGTCCTTACCAGTTTCTTTTGATGGTTTTGTGTTCAAACAGGATTTCCAAATATTTGAAAAATTTCATCAACCTCTTATTTTGGGTTTAGATTTTCTCAGAGAAAATGATGCTGTTCTTAGTGTTGCACAAAATACCCTTTCTCTTAGGGACCCTGTTTCCAATCAAGTCTTTGCAATTGACATTAATTCAGGCCTTGCTAGAGTTTCTAAGTCAGTCACTGTCAATCCTGGTTCTGTCATGGCAATTGAAGTCTTCATTTCAACTTCATTGAATGGTACGCATGTCTTATTGGAACCATCACAACATCTCCCTGAATTAGGTTTGGCAGGAGCCAAATGCTTGGTTGATACCCTCAACAATGATGTTCACTTTATGCAAGTTATCAATCCTACAAACAACCCGGTAACTCTGTCTGCAAGTACATGCATTGCTTCAGCATCATTAGTCAACCCTGATACTGTGCTATCTCTAGACAGCTCTACGTCATCTGGTACACACTCTGACAAACCATCCTCAGTGAGTCCCATTGATTTTGATCTATCTGACTCTGATCTAACTCTCAAACAAAAACAGATCCTTCTTGCTTTTCTACACAAACACAGATCTGTTTTTGCTACAGAATTATCAGAATTAGGCAATTGTGCTCTACAATCTCATCGTATAGAAACTGGTGAAGCTTTCCCTGTTCGTCAAAGATTCTACCGACAGTCCCCAGAAGTAAACGCAGAGATGAACAAACAACTAGAAGAAATGTTACAGGCCAATATCATTGAAGAGTCAACATCTATGTGGCAAAGCCCTGTAGTCATGGTTAAGAAGAAAAATGGCCAACTCCGTTTTGCAGTTGACTATAGAAAACTGAACTCTGTCACTAAACAATACACATTTCCTCTACCTCGGTTAGAAGATGTTTTTGACACCATTGGCATTTCTAAGGCTCAAATCTTCTCCACTTTAGACTTAGCTTCTGGCTTTTGGCAAATACCCATGGACCCTGAAACAGCCCACAAATCTGCATTCGTTACTCCTACTGGAGTGTATCAGTGGAAACGTATGCCCTTTGGCCTTGTCAATGCCCCGGCTAGCTTTCAGGCTCTTATGACCCAAGTTCTTAGGGGTCTCAATTGGAAAACTTGTCTTGTCTATGTGGATGATATTCTGGTTTTCTCTAGCTCCTTTGAGCAACACATCCAACATTTGGACCAAATCTTTTCTCGCCTTAGTTCTGCAGGTCTTACTTTAAAACCATCCAAATGCTCCTTTGCTCAAAAACAAGTTCAGTACCTTGGTCATGTCATCACCAAAGATGGAGTTCAAGTTGACGTCTCTAAAACAGATGCTGTTAGATCATTTCCAACACCGAAATGTACCAAAGATGTCAGATCTTTCCTTGGCCTATGTAACTACTACCGAAAATTCATTCATGACTACAGTACCATCATAGGACCATTAACAGCTCTCCTTAGAAAAGACAACAAATTCAAATGGTGTGATGAATGTCAAATGGCTTTCGATCAACTGAAGACAGCCCTAACATCGCCACCAGTCCTTGCATATCCAGACAACTCCAAACCATTTATTCTCACTACCGATGCATCCGGTACAGCACTAGGATGTATATTTGGACAACTAGACGACAATGGAAAGGAGCGTGTCTTAGCATTTGGTGGACGATCCCTCAACAAACATGAGAGGAACTACACTATATCAGAACGAGAGTGTTTAGCCATTATTGAAGGTATTAAGAAGTACCATGTTTACCTCGCTGGAAAACCATTCACCGTGTACACAGACCATTCAGCTCTGAAATGGTTACAAACCGTCAAGCACGATACAGGTCGACTAGCTCGATGGTCCATCCTTCTGCAGGGATACAACTTCAACGTAATCCATAAGAAAGGCAAGAAAAATGGTGTAGCAGACGCTCTATCTAGGAGAACATACCCTCAGCAACTTCAAGCTTCTTTAGAACCAGAAGATGCCATACCCAGCACCAACACAGTCTCCATATTATCAACATCAGAGGAACATAATCAGGCTACCTTCTTCTACAAACATGAAGACAGTCAAGTACCTTTACAGTCAGTATCACAGGTAACTCAACCCACAGTATGTCTTGTCGACAAACCTGATGAAATTGGTCATCTTCAAAGTCAGTGCCCAGATTTTGGACCTCTACATTCCTACTTCACAAATGGAACTGTGCCATCTTTAAAGCAAGAGCGCGACAAACTCATTTCAGAAAGCAACCAATACATCTTCTTAGACGGCACCCTCTACCATTTTTACCAACCCAGATCAAAGAAAATTGCCCAGTGCCAACCAATTCTTAAACAGCTAGCAGTACCACGTTGTCTACGAGAAGACGTGTTACGTTCCTACCATGACAGTCTTGCTGGTGGTGCACATCTTGGTCTGGACAGAACATATAGGGCAATTCAACTGAAGTACTACTGGCCAAAGATGTATCAGAATGTTGCTGACTATATCCGCTCCTGTGACGCTTGTCAACACGCCAAGAAACAAACTAATCATCCTAGAGCTCCTCTTGTAAATATGCCAGTAGAGGACACTTTTTCACGCCTGCATATGGACATCTTAGGACCGCTACCTACTACCAAAGAAGGATACAAGTACATACTGCTGATTGTAGATTCCTTCAGTAAATATCCAGAAGCATTTCCACTGAAAACCCAAGAATCTAAAGAAATAGCTGAAATACTTTTTGCGGAAATATTCTCTAGATATGGAGCACCCCGTGTCATCGTCAGTGATAGAGGTCAAAACTTCCTAAGCAAACTCGTAACAGCTGTATGTGAAATTTTTCAAGTAACAAGACATTTCACCAGTGCCTACCATCCACAAACAAATTCAACATGTGAGAGGATGAATAGTACTATTGCCCAGTGCTTGCGTACCTACATCAACCCAGACCAAACAAACTGGAACAAACTTCTACCTGGTGTTATGATGGCTTTACGAATGAGCCCATCAACTCAAGCGTCCGACCTATCACCCTACCATCTTGTATTTGGAAAAGAGATGAACTTACCATTCGACACTTCTTTGATACCTAAACAAGGCCTATGTAAAGATGCGAAAACTCATGTGAATGATCTCATGTCACATCTTCAGATTGTAAGAAACATCGCCAAAAAGAACATCAAGAAAGCTCAAGACAAACAAAAACAACAATATGACAAGAAGTCCAAATTACAAGAATTCCGTGTAGGACAATTTGTGTTACTTCACTCCACAAAAGTTCCACAAGGATTGTCACCAAAGTTACACAATCCATGGGATGGCCCCTTCTATGTGACGAGAATTGGACCAAACAACACATATAAATTACGGAGATTCTCAAACAATAAGGAACTGAAGTCCTTCATTCATGTGAACAGATTGAAATCGTACAACATTCCAGATCACCGTCCTAGCTTAGACCCACCGAATCCAGATGAACCCATCGACGACACTCATCTACCCCCAGACGATGATCCTGATGTACAAGACCCCACTCAACCGGAGCCAACTTTGTCTCACTCTCAGTCAAACGCCAATCCAACTTTGGATTTGCCATCAACGCCACCTCAGAACTCGTCAGACCCCCTCTCAACAAGCCACAGAGGACGTCTCCAATAAGACTTACTATGTTGAAAAACTACTACGCTACAAGTTTGTCAACGGCAAGAAACATTTCCGAGTCAAATGGCTAGGATACAGCGAACGCACATGGGAACCTGAGGAAACTCTTCCTCCTTCTTTGGTTCGCGAGTTTCACATTACCAAAACACAAACCGGCTCAGCCCGCAAGAAGAAAACAAAACTGACTTGCTTCAAGTAGATGAATGATTTGGTCTAACTCTTACTCTGTACCTACCCTTTCCTACATTCTTATTTCTATCATTGCTCCCTGAGCCACTCGTTATGTTCATTGTTAATATTTTCACATATTGCTCAAAGGTTGTTTATTGTTATTTTGGCTTTATTTGATATTAACAGTGTATTCATGACCATTGCCCTGATCTTTCTCACTTCCTTCCTTAGGTACCCCAGGACTTCCGACCAATTTCCTCATCATATGTCTTGTTTCCCTTCTTGGCCTTGTGTCTACCAGTAATGCGACCACTATACAGCGGTTAAATTATGGTGTTCTGTTCGAACAACACCAGCAGCTCTATCTAGGACAGGAGTATTGGTCACATACCTTCGAAATACCTCTTCCCAAGAAAGTGTACTTACACCGAGAGCTCTACTGTAACAACGCCCCACAGTGCAAGTATGGAAAATACATCATCAAAACCCTTAACACATTGAGGACCCAAACCATGGCAAGTGTTAACTCGACGGTTCATGAGATTCACACTCTACTCCCACAGAGCCGTATTCAACGTCCACAACCTTTTGTTGGCTCATCTCGATCCAAGCGTGGTCTGTTTGATTTTGTTGGACAAATCTCTAAGTCACTTTTCGGCACTGCTACATCTGATGACATTGCCACTTTACAGCGTCATATGCAAGTCCTTAATCGCAACAACGTCAAAATCGCCAAAGCAATGGCTGTTCAGGAAAAACACTTGTCTTCATTCATTTCCACGGTCGATGCACGATTCAA